TAAAGGTCAGTATAGTCCAGTAAAGGTGAACACTGATTTCCCATCACTGCATTTACAGTGGAACAGTGAAAGTGAAATCTAGTGGTGGCAAAACCAGAGGCAAACAAACAGGGCAAAAGCAAGCTTTACTGAGCTGAGGGTTAAAAACAGGGCTTGCTAACAGGCAGCCCAGACAAAAAGGGCAAGGCATGCAGGCAGAAAGTCCAACAAGTCAGGCAAAGAGAAAAACAAGACAGGCAGACAGGCAGAAATGTAGTTTCTTGTGAGAAACTGAAGTAAAGGACTGGCGCCCAGGTTGGCGTACTGTCAGGTGATGAGGAGAGGTGGGAAAGCAGGTACCAACTGCAGAGCAGAGAATTGGAGGCAGTGGCATGGCACAAAGATCAGTAGCTGGTAGACATATAATAAAGGTTAAGTATAAAAAATCTGTTTTGTATGCCAACAATGGACGGATGGAGTATGTAAAAATTGTCGCTTGCAGTGACAGATTCCCAGAGAATTATTTCCTGACATGCAGTTCCCTTCACCTCTAACAAGCATTTACATTTTTCAGGTCATTTTTTATTTTTACAACCACAACTTTACTGTTTTGGTTCACTCTCATTACTCTAATCAGCTTGTTTCCAGCTGCAGCAGGTAGTTGGTTTTAGCGAAAAGCTCTTAAAACCCATTGTAAGCTTCCTGCCTGGCACCAAATAGTACAAAGAGTTATCAACTAACTTGTAAAGATAGTTAATAACCAAAGAGCTAGATATTGTCCTAAGGAGTTAGCGCAGACCAAAACCAGAGCGGTGCTGATGCATGTTGCTATAGCATAGCATGGTTAGATGGAGGGGGGATCAGGCTTCATCAGGCTTCCCACGGTCCCCTCTAGCATAGACCACGGATATAACAGGCACACAATGTGGGTGTTGAGCACATACTGGATATAATCTTGAACCATGCTTCATTTGTTCTGTCAGTGTCTTTCCTCAGCTGATGGTACATCATGAGGCCCGTCTTGCACCATGGTTATGTCAGTGTTACCAGAGAGCACAGAGGCATCAAAACACTTCTTCCTTTGTATGCTAGACTGTTAGGTAATATAATACATCATTTCATGATTCAGGAATCATTTCCTCTTAATGTGATGTAACTGTGATCGTTTCAGCTACTCTGTCATGGAGCACAATCGCCCTCCAGTGCCTCGGCCCCTGGGCTTTTACACCCCTCTGATCGGCCACGCAGATGATCCGATGACCCAGTTTTACATCAAGCATGCAGAGCAATGAGTACTGAAGCGCAGTCTTGGGACATTTTGCTTAAATCTCAGTGGATCATCTGAGTTGCATGGTAGAACTGAAGAGAAAGAGCTGTCTTGCACTATATTATATGCTAGAAATAAGCCACATATTTGTTTTTATGCAACACTAAGACCATACCTTGATTTGTTTACACATTTTCTTTCACATATCTCCTCTGTGAAGGGAAAGCAGTGTGACAGCAAAGCATAAAATCTTCACAGACATTTTGTGTGTGTGTGTGAGATTAGATATCACTGAAAGCACTAAAGGAAAAAGGTGCAGACAAAGTGCCAATAGCCATTTCACTACCTGTGAGATGCTCAACGGGAACCAGAGAGCTACCGTATATGATTAGCACTTATTCTCATTTATTTCTGTGTGATCACCTGTAATTACATTGTCTTGATCACTGTTTCTGCGTCCCTGTGCTGTTACTTGGGACAAAAGAACATGGCATGTATGAATTGGAGGGGTTTTATTACAAAAGCTGTCACACTGAAACATTCAGGGTATGGGCAGGGATCACTCATGATCAGTAAGAGGAAGGCACCAGTAAAAATGTCTGCAGTACAAAGCTAAGTTCCAAACACAGAGCAAAAGTCCTTGATGCGGATCAAGAAAACGTTGCTAACAAGCATGTGAAAGCAGATAACAGAAACAGAGAGAAGAGAATCTCTCCTGGATGGCCCTCAACCTCTGTTTAATGAGAGGGAAATGCTCATAAACCCCCTAGACAGATGCCCTCGCAGCTTGGAAGTGCACCAGCTCATTACAAGCTATTCGGAATCTGTTGTCTGATACTCAGGCATTAAAAATGGCCCATTCCCCTTGATAGGAAATATTAATACAGCAGAATATCAGCTGCTAAAAACCACATATGGTGGAAATCTTTTTCAGATGACTCAATGAACAGGTAAGGTCAGTTATTTTTTACAGCTATCACTAAAGGTTTGTTCATGCAGATAAAGTAAACAAACAATGTTTTCACTTCTTTCATCCATAAACGTAAAGAATTTGGACTGTGGTGTGTTTGTTACACTCTCCGAGGCCAGGGAGCATGACATTAGCTAAATGCATTCATTTGTTTAATTAGAGATTACACTAAAAAGCCCTGCTCACAACCAGCACATCTACTTGTAGTGTTTCCCCATGGTGTGGAAGCTGATGCTGGAAACTACAAGACTGCTCCATCTGAGTCAAATCAATGAACCACTGTTTAAAAATGAGTTTCATGTGCTAAGTGCAGCTCTGTTGTCACTGGAAATTGTATTATTTGTCACAAACAAACAGAAAGCAAACCCCATAGTCTACAGTTTTATATACATGTACCTGTAACCATCTCTACTGTACATGAAACTGAGCAGAGTCGGTTGATTAATGGCTGATTAGGGTTATAGTGACGACTCGCCCCGTTGCCAGCTCTCATTTGCCAGTATAACTCTCCCCAGACCTGTTCTCATGAGCCATAAAAGCTCTCAGTGGGAACTGAACCTGCAATTCAAGCAGATCAATATAATCCTCAGTGCTTTATTACAAAGGGCTTGAAACAGTGTGCTCATTGTCTCCATATGTGGTATAGAGGCTACATTCTAAGTGTGCTTTATGTTTTCTTTTCTGCCACATGCAGTCTGAGCTACAGGCAGCTTCCTTTCTTGTCTCCCATACGTTGGGAGACAGTAAAAACTCCTCTGTCTGCCATCTGCTTTATTGAGTTACTCTGGATTCCCAGAATTTAATATCTGCCTGTGTGTGTCTTTAAGCACAGTTTGTGTTTATTGTGCTTTGTGAACAGAGATACTGGTGCAGTCTTGACAGATGACAATGTTGAGAGGAAGTGATCAGCCAGTTACTGCTAATTAAAATGAGAAGCGGCTCCCTGAAGGCATATGTTCTCTGGCGCTGTGCAGATGTAGGGTCCTGTAGATCAGCTCATGAGAGCTGCAGTGAATAATTTTCAGTATTGATTATTCTGTGTTATTAGGTCATATGAATGTTAAAAAAATACTGATACCTTTTCTGCAGTCCTCTTTAAACGGCAGTGACATAAAACCTTGGTTTTAAGAAATCATGCAAAGTTTTTTTTATGTATATATCTGATGCACAAGCATGTGTGGCTGATGCAGAAAACATACTGTAATTAAGCATATGAGCGCACTCGCAGCTTTTCTGTGTTGATTGATCCATGTTAAGTAAAGAAAAAGGTCTTAATAAGATCATAAAAAAGATGCTGTTGTTATATGGTGCGATCTCCTGAGTCTAAACCAGCAGCTCAGTGGATGTTATTGCTTGATGTTATTAAATGTTGGTCGTGTATCTTTGAAGGACAGAAATTCCCTGAAGCAAACTGTGAAACGGTCAAGCCAGCTGATCAGTGAGCTGCAGCCTTGTCTGGCGTCCCTGTACACTAAACAGGCTCAGCAGGTAGCTACCTCTATTTGAAAGGATGTCTCGCACCCTTTACACGGGGAATTTCAGCTTCTCCCTTCTGGGCGGAGCTTCTTAGTTCCAAGGTGTCAAATGAAGCATTACAAAAACAGCTGTCTTCCTGCTGCTGTCATCGAGATGAAGAAGTTAGTAATATGTGTGGAGTTTATTTTTAACTGATATCTCATTTTATGTCCTGATTTAATTGGTGGAACCTTGAGTATTTTATCAAGTTTTATCATGTCCTACTGTCCTGTCCTGTGTTATATTTGTTTGTGTGTATCTTGCTGCAAAACAAATCTACCTATGGGTACAATTAAAGTAACCTAACCTAAATAAAATATAATCTGTGAAGAGGATCTGAATACAATACATTTTAAAGCATCTGACCAACCTTTCTGGTGTTTAAAGAAGTAAGGGATTTATTCAGCTTGTGTAGTGCTGACATTTTCACGGTTTTAAATCATTAAAACTGAATATTTTTGAAGTTTGGGCTGTTATTCTTAAAACACAAGCAATTCAAAGACGTTTCCATGAGTCACTGGGAAGCAGTGATCGGCCTTTTGACTATTTTTTAAAACATTTTATAGTATTAACCATTAATTAGATCATCAATAAATAATGAACAATGAAAACTGAAAACTATACTGTGTGTAAAAACAAGCACCAGTGTATCTAGAGGTGAAAGAACAATATGGGTAAATGCCAGAGTTCTACTGTAAAGCTGGACCATCATCTCTCTCAGTGTGGTCACAGGCCTCTGGACACACGGGCTGAATAAAACATGTTATTGACCCCACAGTCCAAGTCCAGACGGAGTACCAAATCCCTTTCCTCTCCTTCTGCTATGTATCTCTGTTCAACAGGCCAGTTTCAGGGGGCAGGAAATTAATCAGCCAAGCTGGCGGACTCTGACAGTGCCAGCTAATTAGGGGAGGAGACCTCAGACTCAGGCTCTGACTTGACAGTTTAATGTAAATGCTTTGTAATGCTCAACAGCGCCTACTCTTACCTGGAAGTGTTCCCTTTGAACAAACAAGTGCCTTTTTCATTCCTCCTCACCTTTATTCTCATGCATAGAACTGAGCCAGTGCAAATGATCCATAGATGGGATTGCTATTCTCTCTTTCTTGCTCCTCCTGACTATTTCTATTATTCCACCTACTGATTTGCTGAAGCGCCTCTCTCATGGCTGCGCTGTTAATTGAATCCCCCAGCCCCCCGCCGTCTCCTTGGCACGAGTACCCACACACATACACTCGCACGTATCTTCTCTCTCCGTCTTTCTGCTAGATGTTGCCAGGGCGATCGAGCTGCTGGAGAAGCTGCAGGAGTCAGGTGACGTTCCTGGTCACAAGCTGCTGTCTCTGAAGAGGGTCCTGCAGAGCGAGTTCTGCACAGCCATCAGAGAGGTGAGTCACTGTCAAGGTCTGTGAACACCAACAGGACTCATGCATTGTGATTCATCTGCAAGACTCTTTATTTTTCTCATTTTGTTGACCTTTCTCATGCTAGAACTCTTTTTATGTTGTTTTATGTGCTTCCAATCAGTCAGCGTATTCAGTGGCTCGTTGTTTTTCCTCAGAGTTGCTGATTCCCATTCTCCTGTCACGGTTAATACTTCATAGGGTTTATTAAAAACAAACCAGAAAAGTAAAGCACCTAACTTTCTATGACAAAGATGATTTCCCATGGAAAAGTAAACAACAGCTGACTGTTAGAGCTGTTTGCATTTATTCATCCCAACTATACAGATGTTAGCCATAAGCTAGCCACTAGAAAAAGGTGGAATTAAATAGTTTTTAAAAGTAACATGAAATATTGTGCAGTACAGCTACATTTATATTAATTACAAGGTTATGAGTGATTTTATGCCATATTGTTGTTGTAGGTTTTTGCTTGTAAAAAATGATCCAGGTTATTAAGTGTTGACTGTGGCAGAATGTTTAGAAGTTTTCTGAATGTTGATTTCATTATTATTTATTATTACACTTCCCATTTTGTACAGCAATTTAGACCTATTGCAACAAAGTGCAGGATACTGACCACCAACAAGATGGGTCAAAAATATTTGAATTATTAGCTGCAGTAAATGAATATTAATTAGATTAAATCTGTATCTAGCATAAAATTGCATGCAGGACCTTTTCTTCTTTTATACACCAGCCTCTTTTGTAGGTCTGTTTATGTTGGTAGATGCATTCCACCACACACGGGATGAAAGCTTCACTCTCTGCGACTTTTCTGGTTGCAGTCTTGAGTTGTAGCAGTGCAACCGAACAGGTTTATTGTAAAACAAAGCTGTTGCCACTGAGTTCACCCCCGAGCACTGAAGCTTTTGGTCAGCTGGTGCAACAGGCTGCAGGTGTGTTAAACAGAAAAATGACTATTTTAGCAGTTGGATAACATTCACAGAAGGTATAGGTCAGTGCTGAGGTTTAGAGAGTGAATCAACTGTAACCTTCGAGGAATTATGGCTATAACAACAAATTCTAAGTGTGTACCTTCAGGTCACTGTTATTTTCCATCAATCAATAATAGAATATCGCATCACGAAAACATCAGAGATTATTGCTCGGCGTTAGCGTTATTAGCGCTGGAGCTGAACACCAAACCTCCACCATGATGAATTTAACTGCTTGAAAATTTCACACCGAGCATTTAAATAATTACAAGGCCAGAAAACATTATGAGCATTTCATTAACTTGAAAGTTTGATAAGCTCGTTAGACTGAATTTTAATTAAGCAAATCACCGTTATAGATAGGTTTTAATCATATTTTACAAGGATGGAATAAAGTGTGAATCATAAACAGGAGTTCTTGTTTTTTTCCTTTTGTTAAATTAATTTCATTCACATCCATGCAAAGCAGACAGCCACTGATACACAACACAAGCAAGAGCATTCACGCTACACGACAGCACTACACAGGCTGATAACCACACATCTTGTATATTTAGTGTCCTGTCTGCTGTGATATACTGCTGCATGACTTTCCTAGGCAAACAGGAGTTTGAAGAGCAGGGTAAACAGATGACTGATGCCACAAGCTAATTGTAAATAAAGTGAACCTGTAATTTGTTCTCGAATGAGAGCAGACAATTAGTGGACTTAATCAGTATGTCAGGGAGAAGCCCCTTTTCATTTTCTAGTAGGAATTGTGTTGTAAATTAAAGGGGCATTAAGTAGGATTTTAGACTTTCAGAACATGAAATAACCATGCTGTGTTTTGGACTGACTTCTATTAATAATTCCTAGTTCAACAACTGAGATTACTGGTTTGAAAAACGTACTTTTGAAGCCAGAAAACGTTATTATCTTGCCTGTATAGGCTTATCTTAATGTAAGAATAGGGAGCGTTACACCAGTAGTGTCATCTGGGTGGGTGCTTCTGTGATGCTGACGTCTGGGGTTTGGTCCCACATGACACTCCTAAAACACTTAAAGGTTATGGTTTGAAAAAGGTCATGATCTGGATTAATACAGCCTATCACTAGTGTTAACTGTATCAACATATCACTTATTTTTCAGCCACTGTCTTGAGATAATAATTGAAGGCTTGCTAACTCAGGCACCAATTAGGACACATGACCTGTGGCAGACATTACATAAAACCCTTGACATCATGCAAAGTGACAGAAAGGAAGAAAGGACTAGTTATCCCTTCTCACAGGGTCTGCTCGGGAAACCCTGGCAAATCCTGGCACCAACTCCACATCTGGCAACAGGCGGCCTGATCTCAGTCCCTGTCACTGGAGTGCAATAACAATGAATCTGAAAAGGGCCTCAGCAGCAGCAGCAGCAGATGATGATTCACTTTGGCAAGAGGCAAAGACCCACAAAGAGCTGGCTAAACACAGTCACTAGAGGAACCACAAGATGCTCTGAGAGATGCTCTGAGATTAGCGGGCTGCAGGGAAGCTGACTATGGTTCTTAGTCAATTACAGGTTTGTGAGAGGCAGTGATGCAACAGCTTCTCTCTGTGGTGCTGAGCCAGCTGGAGGATAGGTTGTAAGTGCATACTCTAGATTATGACTGTTGTTATGCAGAGCATTAAAGAAGCTGCAGTGGTGGAATATCACAGTTCTGAGCAGCTGTGTCCTCCGATGCACTATTTGTACTGGAAACAATTAAGAGACAGACTCAGAGTGGAAGGGTGTCTCAGTGGGAAAGCAACAGTTAAGCTAGATTTAATGGCCTGATGTACAGAAGTTGTTTTAATGTGTTTGTTTGTGCCAAGAGAAAGCATTTATGATCAGAGTTCCCTTTGCTATCAGATGATCTGTTCCTCTGTTTCGGCCTCTGAACAGGCTCAACATCACTTCAAAGAATCGCAGTGATGTTTCTGTAGGTTATGTAGTATTTTTACATTAGTGCCAGCCATTAATCAAAATGTGGTGTGGATGTATTTTTTCCTACTTTGCAGGTAGAAGAGCTGATTGCCATGTACTCCCATTTGCTGAGACTGAAAAATATCTTGAGAAACCATCTTTGTGTGTGTGTGTGTGTGTGTGTGTGTGTGTGTGTGTGTGAGTGCTGCATCTAGTTCAAAGACTGAGTTTGAAGCTCTGAGTTGTCATGTGACCTGTAAGACTTGAAAAGCAGCACGCAAACACTCCACCCTGGAAGAAATAAATCAGTGCTTTCAGCCACTAAAATTACCACAAAATAGTAAAAAGACTTGTTTATACCCCCCTGGTAAGCAAGTCCTTTTACCCCCTGTTGTTCATCTTGTTCCCACCACTGTAACTTTCATTTTTACAGATGACTTTTCTTTCTAGTCCAGAACTTGTCATGTGTTATATAATTCCTAATCTTGTCTACAGAGTAAAAGCCTGACAGTAAGTCCATATCCAGATCTGACCTCCTACTCCATGTCTGCGTCAATAGAATTTACCGAACATGAATCAGCCTTGTTAAGGATGAGAAGCCTGCTGTCAATATGAAGAATGGAGGGCAGGGAAAAGAGCCTGTTCAGCAGTGGTGGGCTAAATGACAAAATAACAGAGACAAGAGTTTGTCTTTCACCGCTGTATCCATCATTGACGGGGGTGGCGGGAGAATCTTGTGTCCCTGCATTAGTCTCGCTGCATCAGCATGAAGGAGTTGTCAGGGACAGTCAGCCTTGCAAAATGGGAAATGAAGGAAGGACACGAGACGAGCCGAGCGGACGGGCTAACCAGCTGGAAATGATGGACAATGCCAATTTGCAATATGTTGGGGTAGAGTCCCACCTGACAAAAGTGCACAAGGCAGGCCGGAGCATCTTTTATCAGCTCTGACGCTGCAGATGATTTTCCACTTCAGCAGAGATTTTCAATCAACATAATTGGCTGTTTTTTTAGAAAAGCGAGCGAGGAAGCGAGGGCGGAGGATTTGTGTTGAATCTACCTTGATGCCTCTGCCTCCCACATCACAATCAAGTTCAATATTTTCCCTGTGTGGCACCATCGGGAGGGGAAGTGTCTTGTTAGGTCCTGCGCTACTTTTCATCCATTACCAACAACATAAACATGCTAAGGGCTGTCTTTCACCCATCCCCCTCCTGCACATCATCTCTTTGACTCAGTCAGGATCAGCCATCGTTACAAGCAACGGTGTCACATCAGTTTGCCTGCAGGCATCTTTCTGTTTTCTGCTTTTGTGGCATCCTGCTTGTACATGCCAGCATACGTAAGAAAGATTGTGTGCGTGTGTGTATTTCACGAGGATCCTTTGTGGTGAGTCAAGCAGGAAGGAACCATGTAGGAGAGGGTGGACCA